GCTGCTTTAATTGGAGTCGATGGTGTTATTTATATAAATGTTTGTCATTTCTCTTCGTTCGCCCTGTTTGCATTTCATTTTTTTGGCAGTTTAAATTGTAGGCGTCATGTGATATATTGGCCATATTGGATTTGGGCTTCGTTTGACTCTGCCATGGCCTGGCGTGCTTTGTCTGCCCTGCTCTGGTTCACAGCTGACCTTGTTCTAGATCTTTTTCTGCTTTTTTGCGATTGGCTCAAAAATGGTCCATTGCAGAGTTTAAAGTTGAAAGCGTTGTTTTGGAGAATTGAAGTATCGTGTAGATATGCAAGAAATGTGATCCAGATAACCCGAGAATGATTTAAGCAGCGGATTTCGTTCGAAGGGGTCTGCCAAGTGGCTAGGCATATTTGGCTGGAAGACTAACAACTTGCTCACATATATAGAACAGTTTTTCCAAACATTAAACTTTCTTCAAGTTGCATATTAGAATTGATAACATTGAGGAAAAAAAAAAAGATTTAAAAACAAACCACATTTCAAACGGGTATATGAATATTTCATACAATTAAGAGATTTAAACGAGAGTAAAGTTAAACATAAAAAGCAAATTCAAAAGCAGTAGCTGCCAATTTAAAAAATATGTAAATTATTCTCGAGCTGTACTCAATGGATCGTGTGTGGGTAACACCGGGCAAAAGCCTAATTTAATTAGTATTCCAAAACATGCTTTAAAGCAGCTTGGAGAAAAAATTAAATAAAAATAAGACCACCTGGAAATGTAATGCAATGTCAAGTTCAAGTGCTCGTCTTTTGTACTGTGTGAAGGCCATTAGCTTCAGGAAAGAAAGTGTCAGCCATAAAACCGTGAAATCACATACAAAATGCATTTCAATGCCACGCGTAGCACACATTAAAAAAAATCCCAAACGTAGACAATAACATTTGGTTTTTAATTAAGGAACAGCCAAAAAAAAAAATATATACATATATATACATATATATATATATATGTAAAAGGAAAAACAAAAGAAAAAAATGTTTTAATGCTGGCGAGTGGTTTTGTGGATGGGAGTGGGAGCTAAGTACTTCCGTTTACAACTCAACGTGTCGAGTCTCAAGCAAAGTGGAGCTCCAATGTCAATGCCACACGCACACATGTGGCACAAACACACACATCCACACACAAACAGGACAACAACAAGCGCTCGACTCAATTTCAGAAAATAATTTAACGACTCCATTTAAGCATGAAATCACAAGACGCCTCCCCTCCCTGCCCTATCCATGGCAAATGCTTGAGGGGCGGGGAGTCCCTCAAAGTCCTAGGTGTCTCAGACAAAAGCCAACTGCGGGGCTATTCAGCGGCAACTTTATCGCTAAGTGGGAAAATCTGTAGAATTTTAAGTGCTTCAGGAGACACGCCAGGAACGAGAAGCCTACAGGAACCCAGTTGTGAATTGTCTATTGTCCTATTGCGCCTGAAACTCCAGTTAGCTCTCCCGGTTTCAGCTCAAGTTCAGTGCAGCTCCTTCTGCCCTGTTCATATTTTTTTTTTTCTGTGCAGGGATTCTTTGTTGTTGTTTTCAAGGTGTGCTAAGAGGCGTATGCACAAAACAATTTTCATTTACTTTACGTTTTTAATCATGGTTAAAGGATATGTCAGCGACGCTCGTTATATAGACAACAACAGGATACACAACACAAGAGTCGTGAACGAGCCATTCGTCTGCAGGATGTCAACGCAAATTCAAGTGAAATGATGCACAAAGAAACGAAAAAAAAAAGGATTGCCACCGGATGAATGCACTTCAATTGAAGCAGAAGCAGAAGTAGACGTTGAAGGAAGGCCAGACAACAAACTGAAGAAAAGAATTGGAATGCAATGCTCATTGTCAGAAATTGACAGGTATGCAGAGGGCAGACCCACAGCTCAAGTCAAGCCCAAAGGATTAGATTTAGGGGTGTGCGCGAGTCTCAAGACATTCAAATGACAAATACATGTGATGATCATGTTTTGGCATATTTGTGACCGCAGTCAAAGAGCACACATGAAACACACACACAACCAGCCCACAACTACTTGGAAAAGCCGATAGCGGTAAATCGGTAATCGCTGTGGCAACTTTTCCGGCTAAGCAACTGAGATGAAAATTTCCAGCTGCTTGGGCTCACACATTTTTTACTTACGATAAAGTTGTACACTCACAACTTTGAAGACGCCGACGGGTCATTAATTGTGTCTGCAGTTTAACACCTAAAGGAACTTTCAACGTATCTGAGTTTGTCGCTGGCCAAGTTCATTTTTTATTCTCACAGTGGCATAGAAGAAAAACACCGAACCGTGTACATGCATTTCTATCTAATTAAAACAGGTGTTTTAATTATTGAAGCCATTTAATTTTGTTCATCATAAACGCCGCCGTTGCCTGCCCACTTGGCACATTTTTATGGGACCATTAAAAACAGTTGCAGTTGCTAAGCCGGGCTGCTCATTAGGAGGCTCCATGCTCCAGATATGATGAATTTTGTTTCTGTTTGCTTTATTAGGCTCGTAAAAATGGCCAACGGGCAGCGTGTTTATTACGTTCTGTGTTTTGTGTGTGTTTTGCTTAACTAGCTTTTATTGCAATTAGATGGTGCAGTTGGAATAAGGGCTACACAAAGAAACCTCCCCCTTGCATATACACCAAATATATATTCTTTGTTGTCCCACAACTTTAGCTGAGCTCTTAATTAGACGTAAATGCGCTTTACAACTTTTTGTTTGTTTCTCGAAAGCTTGAGGTTTACAATTAGTGACCAAAACATATCTATTAAATATCGTGCACGTGTTTCGACAAACTTAAGAATTGTTTTCATGTTTCATGAAACTAAACAAATGAAAGGAAACGGGAATTGAAGCCATTTATAAAATGTTGTGTATTTATATATTATATTTAAAAAGTTATTTGTCTTTGATGATTGTTTAAAATTGTAATTTTACTATTACCTTTTAAGTAGATATCCTTTAAAGTGTAAATTTAATTTGAAATTTGTATTTTTTAAAAATAGTTGACCGCTTTTAGTCTACACTAAATATATAAATAAGATATATATTCAAAATAAGTTTTTGTATACGGTTTGGATTTTAGACATAAGTTAAATTCAATAAAATGCTTATATTTAAGTTAAAGCTAAAAGTGTAAATCAAATCATTTAATCATAATTATAAATAAAGGTTTTCACTAAGCATTAATTGACCAGCGTTAAATAGTTACAATTCCTTTTCTTTTCCGTTCTCTCTTGCCTCCTTCATAGAAATCCCTCTTCGATAGATTTACCTTTATAATTCAACTATTATTTCGCTGGTCATCAATTTGGTGATGCAGCAGCTATTCAGTCATACTTTCCTTGTTCCGAATCTTGAGTGAGCTCCAAACCCAACTGCACGTAATTACATTGTTATTTAGATCAGCAATTTTGTGTACTTTAACACTAATCAATTTTTAATGAAATAACAGAAACCCTTTTTTTTGGTCATCACCTTTCCATACTTAATCAGGCAATAATAACATAAATTAAATAAACAAAGTCACCAACAATCAAACAATAATAAGCGCTGTAGAACTTTTGTTTTCTTAACGTTAAAAAGAGAAAAGTAACGAGGAAGAATGAATATAAAGGCCCAACGCGATGATGTGTGTTAAATTTCACGGGCTGCGTCTGGAGCGATACAATAACAAGAGCAGCTGTTTGTTTGGGAGAATATTGCAAGTTCATTATACAAACACCAATCAAACATCGCGGCTCAGTTCGGGACAGGTATGAAAAGTCAATTAAAGCCGCGTAAAACGTAGCAACAGATGATGTTGATGTGGATGTGGATGTGGATGATGATAATGATGATGGAGCGGAGCGGAGCTCTCTCTTTATGTGTGATGGGAAAACTGCAAGCTCACCGCACTTCTCACTCAATTAGAACAGAAAATTCAAAGGAAACGTGTAAACAAAATAAATACGAAATCAAGAAACAGACTCAACTCAGACTTTGACTCCTGCCTTGTCGATTTTTCCCGCCCTCAGAGTCGTTGCCTTTCGCCGCGCTTTCCGTTTAAAAGGCTTGAGTTGAATTTGGAGTGGACACAACGCCAGCCAGCTAAGTCTAACCTGGCAACGGAGGCACTCGAAACGTTTTTGGCATTCTTCACCTGTCAAGGCGGTAGTTTTGGCCTCTCGGATTCCGACACCGACTCTGACCACCGTCTCTGCTGCTCAGCGGCAAAGTGCAATAAGAACGTCTAAAACCTCACACTTCACAACTTTTGCCGAAACATCAAAGTTGACGTACACAATGGCCATTGATGTGATACAACTGAAGTGCAAAGAAAACAAAACACGAAACCCTAGTGCTGACTCCATACCTCTGCTTTGCTCTGGTCTGCTGTGCTCCATCTCCACAACAAGAAGCGCGTCCAGTGCCAGTCCAAGCCCAAGCAAGCAAGCCAGCACACCAGCAAGCAACATCGACAACGCTGTCGACGTCATCGTTGGCGGTGGCTTCAACACTGTTGTCAGCTTCAACAAGCGTAAAATATTCTCAGAATTGCAACAACTTTAGTTGAGGTTCAGCCTTTTGGGCAGCATTTTGACAACCGTTGGACTAAGCCAGGTCCGCTTCAGCGTTAGGCGCCCAAATCGGGGCACCGCGATGCTATTTAACGGGTCTGTGTTAAGTAAGCAAATTTACTAATTTATAGAGCTGAGTTGGTTGTTTGTTACTATTAGCCTTAAGCATCTTATGAGAAAAGGATTAAACTTGAGAGATAATATATATATTATAAATATTTTAATTTCTTTTCTGCCGACTGAGGTTAGTTGACATTAAGTAAATAAATAAATAAATATAAATAAATAAATATAAATAAATAAATAAATAAAATAAATAATAAATAAGTGGTCATTCAAGAATTACTCTTGCAATCAAGAATTAAGCAAAAAGTTGTATTTTTGGCAATTTTGTTCCATTCCAATTCAATTAGCAATAAGTGTATTTTTTGTCAACCTAAATTTTGATTTGTTTGTAAAATATGGCAGAGCGATCCTCTAAATCGGCAATAAATCGTGACCGTGTTGTTTCGAAAACTCTACAGACTTTGGTACCGTCAGTTCTTGATATCAATATGTTAATCAATCAGCTTGCCAACTGTGAGAATCCCGCAAAAGGTGTATCCCTCCACGAGAATCAAATACGATATGTGTGCACGGAAGCCAGGGCACTCTTCCTCAAGGAGAAAACGTTCTTGGATATAAAGCCACCGATTAAGATATGCGGAGATGTGCACGGCCAATTTGGAGACCTATTGCGCATATTGCACTCAACGGGATTTCCGCCGGACAGCAAGTATCTCTTCCTGGGAGATTATGTGGATCGGGGCAAGATGTCCATTGAGACGTTCACACTGCTCCTCGCATATAAGGTGCGCTATCCGAATCAGATGATGTTGCTGCGCGGCAACCACGAGAGCGCCAGCATCAATCGAATCTATGGATTCTATGATGAGTGCAAGCGTCGCTATTCCATCAAACTCTGGCGCTACTTTGTGGATACCTACGATTGCATGCCCCTGGCGGCCTTGGTGGGTGGTCGCATCTTCTGTGTGCATGGCGGCCTGAGTCCTAGTCTGCATAGCTTTGAGGACATACAGGCAATCAAGCGACCCTGTGATATACCCGACGAGGGCCTCATCTGTGACCTACTCTGGAGTGATCCTGATGAGAACGTAATTGGCTGGAGTGCAAACGATCGTGGCGTTAGCGTCACCTTCGGCGCCGACATTGTGAAAAGTTTCTGCTTTCGCATGGGCATCGACGTGATTTGTCGTGCCCATCAGGTCGTCGAGGATGGCTACGAGTTCTTTGCCAAGCGCCAGCTGGTCACGCTCTTCTCCGCACCCAACTACTGCGGCCTCTTCGACAATGCGGGCGCCGTCATGGTTGTCAATGATGACCTGGTTGTCAGCTTCGTCATCTTGCGACCGACTTACTCAGTGCGTCAGACGACGAACCAGGCGCAGGCAATGCAGGCAATGGGCAAGAACCGCAACTATTAGCCAAATTGAGATCTGACCTCTTTGTGTTTAAATGTATATCGAAGTAATACTACATGTTGATGTAGGTCCACACGGATTAAAAACCTTGAGTTGCTATTTTTAAATGATATTTGAGATTTTAATACAGAAACTTTTTGGTACTCACTTCAAATGACTGTGTAATCGAAAATTCCCTTCACTAACGACTAAACCCTTTCTAATTGTTGACCTCATTCTCACATGTGCCGCTACTGTTCCATTTGTGCAATTACAGGAAAGCTTCTTCAAGCATTAGAACAACAACGTTTGTGGACATTGGACGATGGGAAAGGCTATGGCGACATCGCCATCGCCATCGACATCGACATCGACAATGACAGCACGACGTCTGCACTTAACAATTTCGGCAATGTTGCATGTTTCGTCGTGTGCTGAATGTTGCATAAATAAACTGCAGATCACACGCAAACAAAGCTGAAGCTAAGGCTGTAGATGTGGCTGTAGCGGTAGCTGTGGAGCAAAAGCTGAAACTGAAGTTGCAGGCCAACGTTGGCAGCGGTTTTGCCGCTTGCTTGGCTGCAGCACACTGACACGGACAACATCAAAGTGTTGACTTGACATTTTGAACGACATTTTAACCTGTTTAGCCGCTGCGGCCAAGCTAAACCAAACAAGCGTGGCCAAAGCCAAGTCAGTGGCATCATTGGGGTTCGTTGTCAAGCCAGAGACTCTACCAAAACCCCAGCCAGTGCCACAGCCACAGCCATAGCCATAGCCAGAGCCAGAGCCAGAGCTGAGGGGCAAATGGAACTGGTGAAGCAAACAACATGCCATGCCGCAATACGACTCACTGCACGCTCTTGCAACACACTAACTTATGAAGTCAACAACGACTAAGGGAAAGCATTCGAAGGTGTCCAAAATACAATTATTAATCCTGATAAAATATTAGGTGAGTTTAATTATATATTTTATAAAGAAGTCTTAAAGAACTAAAAATGTTTAATTCGAAATAAAGTTGTAAACTAAAAGATAATGAAATTTAAATATAATATAAATATCAATAAAATAATTAAATATTTAAAAAGTACATTTATATTAAAATAAGAGAAAATGCAAACAGTCAATTAAAGTAAAGGATATATTATATCTTGGGGTATTTGAATGTAGAAAGGTTCAACATTTATTGCAAGGATTGGGGAGACCCTACAACCTCAAATCAGACCAAAATTGTTCAACTTTAATGAGAAATGTGAAAGAAAGAGAGTGAGATGGAAAACAATAAAGATATAAGCAAAAGCAGACAGTTCATAATGTTCATAAATAATTGGTCCATAAACCGTAACTATCATAGTTCTTTCAGTCCGAAATTACTATGCATATAAATGATACTAAACTCTATCAAAATAAATGTTGTCTTCCTATTACTTTTGGTTTATAGCTAAAGTTTAGGTTAGAATTACTAAAGTGCATTTGGAATTCGTTATTAATGTTTGCAATGAGCGTTGTAGTTATTGCTGCTTGGATTAGTGCTGCTGGTGATGATGACGCTGATTCGTTTGGGCCGTAATGTTGACTCAACTGGTTAGTTGTTTGAGCTGTTGTTAATTTTCCTAAAATCAAAGCACAGTATTCACAGGAAATGTAAGCTTCGTTGCGGCAACATCCACCGACAACAAAAGCAAGAGCAACTGCAACTGCAACAACAACAACAACAACAACAGCAACAGCAACAGCAATAGTAATGGCAATGACAATGGCAACGGCAACGGTGTCCAGCTAAAGAACAAGAACTCAAACTGTAACTGGAACAGAGTTTAGCAAGAAATTGCATTCGCCTTTATGTTTACAAAGTGGCACTAGGAATATCCATTTGGTTCGTTAATGGCTCGTTTTATGTGTTCATCGGCATGGCTTAAATTAAAATATTAAAATTTATGAACAAAATTCGCAGTTGGTGCCCGAAGCTGCGCAAATGTTTGCGCGCATTCCATGGCCCTGATTATAGTCCATGAAAAGAATCTGGCAAGCGTGGATCTCGGCCTTTGCACGCGCTGTTTGTTATAGTCTCAGCTGAAGTTGAAGCTCAAGTTGAAGCTGATGCTGATGCTGCTTAAAACGAAACTTAGCCCCTGATGTGGCGCAGATGATAAATAATCCACGCAAAGAGCAAGACCGGACCCGCGCCTTGGCCCATTGCTCATCCGGCAGGTGCAAATCGCATGTGACAGCCAGACACTTAACTTTTGTCCGCTGAGTGGCTGAGAGTAGTCGAGAGTTGCACGTTGCAAGTTGCGAGGGTCTCGCAGTTGCAGTTGCTGTTGCTGTTGCTGTTGCTGTTGCTGTTCTCTGCCAATGCAAACACGTAAGCCAACTGACCAACCAGCTCTGGCTCCCGAACGGCCAACGGCCAACAGTCAGAGTCCAGGTTCACGTCCAGGTCTAGTTAGATGTCTGTCCTCGTATGGTGCCAGTTGCCCAGGGTAGTAGCCTGCCTGGTCATTTTTTATCGCATGTTAATCACAACCTTGTGAAACTTTGTTTGCCTTGCTGCTGCTTGAGCTTGTGCTTGTACTGGCCGCGACCAGGCAGAAGAGGCCTTAAACCCTTTTGTTGTATGGATTTTGTATTTTGTTTTAATGCCCTTGCTCAGGGCATATCACTTTGTACCGAAGACAGCTTTGCTTAGGAAAACACCTGTCCAATTTACAGGCACAGGACAGATGAGCCGTTCAGCCAGCTGCAAGTGCTTTTAAAATTTTGTTCGTATATTTATAAAAATATGTTTTAAAAACATGGAATATACAATTAAATTAAGATGGAAATATTACGGCTTAAGCATTGTGTTAGTCATGTAATCCTTTCAAATCAGTAATAACCCTTAATTAGATCAATTGGTGGTTGTATATTTCATTTAGTTAAATTTGTATATTAATTAAGATATTTATCCTAAAATATATACTCAGCTTAACTATCTCAAATACATTTAGCTCCAACTTATATTAACCAAATACTTTAAAGTATTTCTGATGTAATTTTTCCTAATTTTCTAACTGCTAAAATAGGGTATGAAAAGTTCGAAAAGACGACAAGAACATTTTCCACCGTTCTGATTTTTTTCTGCTACGTACTATGCATATTTTCATGGTGTTGTCTCAGAGCTGGGGCTCTATGCTGAGGTTTTCATAGACAAGTGAGCCTGGACTGCCTTGGCTAAGTGAATGCAATTAAAATTGACGTTAATCTGCTGGAATTCTGATGTTTTGTCATGTTTGCGCGCTAAAGATGTTATTTTGTTTTGACATGCTCTCGGCCTGGCTGCCTTGTAACCAGCAGCCTGCCAGAGTGCCAGCCAGGCAACCAGTACTCCAGGACAGGGCCAAGTAAACAGAAATACATTGTAAGCGCAGTCAGCAACAAGGAGCTAGAGTCAGGGACAGAGACAGAGACAGAGACAGAGTAAGAGTCAGAGCCGGAGTCGAAGTCGTAGCCACTTGGCCACGTTGTTGTCGTGTACATGTAGATCAATCTATCTAACTAACGCGTTTGGTGTTTGCCTGCTTCATGCTTGTTATTTAAATTGTTATATTATTTGTGGCTGGGCTAAGCCTGAGAACATGGGAACCAAGCAGCCAGTGTCTCGGGCTTCCTGGCGTCTTGACTTGTAATGGCTTAACTTTAATCGAATTGTCTGGGGAACGATGGCGATGCTGGGACAAGTCGCCTTTGCCATCAATGTTAATGATTGCATTTTAAATCAGTTAATAAATGCATTTGAATTTCTTTTGTTTCGCATTTAAGCTTTTGCACTTCGATAAATGATGAATGGTGATTAGACTAAGCCACAACACAACTTTAATAAATCGTTTCCATTTCTTTCATTTATTTTATATCTTATGTAACTTTAAATTAAATCTCTTTTAACTAGATACATGAATGCCGATACGTGTGTGTATTCATTTCAAATTGTAACCATATTTGGGCCACCCTCAAACTGCCACACTCTTTATGCTAGTGGCTGGGCTATAAATCTTGAGCTACTATCTTTGGCTCTATACACACTTATAGCTATTATTACTGAAGCATTAAGACACCCAAATGGCCTGCTTTGTTGTCTGCACAGATCCTGATCCAGATGCCAGCCATAACTGCCATTAACATTGGCACTTAATTTACTTTTAGCCAAAACCAAAACAAACACATAAATGACGCAGCCAGCCAGCGTTCAGCTATCTCATTATATTTGGTCAACAATGTGCGAGAGCCACAAAAAAAGAAGAAAAAACGCACACACACAAAAAATTCAACAACAATTAAAACCATTTTCAAACAAACAAACAAACAGCTCGACGTGCCCGTTGTACATTGTCCACTGTCCACTGTCCACTGTATACAGTCCACTGTATACAGTCCTCTGTCCACTGTCCACTGTCCTTGGCTCAGCGTCCAGCCTTCTGTGCTTATTTATTGGAGTCTTGCACATTGTTTGCGCTGCCAAAAATGCTGTGTGGCAGAGGAGGGGAGCGAAAGTAAACTAAGGCAAAAGGCCAAGAATAAGATAGACACATAGATAGAAAAGAAAGTGGCTCGCTGTGTGTGTGTGTGTGTGAATGTGGCGTATATTTTAACAATTTTCAATTTTAGCTTTTGTTGTGCAGTTCGCGCGCAAACAATAAAATCAAAAAGCCAAAAGGAACAAAATAAAACAACTACATCGCCTGGAATGTTGCCCCTGGACAACAAAGAGAACAACTAAATTTAAGTGCCCTCATCTTATCTGCCCCTTGAACGCATAATCCTGGTGGTCCTTTTTAGAATCAATAAAAGAATTTCGAGCGCAAAGCATAAAAGCAACAACGATTTACTCAACAACTCTGCTCCTTGATCGACCATAAATTGACTTTCAGCTTAATTTGATCATTGGCAACCTTTTGTATAATTTTCACAACATTTTCTTTCAATTTGAAATGCATAACAATTCAATTTGAAGATAGTTGCTGTGGCATACAACTCGACGAGTCTCGACCAAATGTGTCGCCTCATAAATTTGTCTAATCTCACGGCGGTGTGGCGCATGCTCCACGTGCTCCACGTGCTCCACTGCGCAGGCGTGAATGCGATCGGT